TGTTCTATAGGGCCCCAGTGGCAATGACTCTCCGTCCCCAGCATCCTGGCACAGGCTCATCTAAATGCATACGCTCTTGCCACTGGCTGGGGATTTGCAAGCATGTGCAGCAGCTTCCATGAATCCATGCAAGTGAGAATGTTGAATATGGTGGGGGAAAAAAAGTGATGATGCCACCCAGTAGGGTCGGTGGATTTTTTCCTGCCTTCTCTGTTGATACTTTCCCAACGCTCAGAGGAACAGTGACTCTGACAGTTTTCTTGCAAGCCGGCACTTCCATTGATCAGTTCACACACAGTAAACAAACAGCATCCCCTATCATCCCTCGCAGCGGCTCCTAGCAGACAGACTTCTGGGCTGAGGCTGGAAGCTGGGCTCATAATCATGCGTTACCCGACAGAGCTTGGCTTTGTACTGATAAAACAGTACTACAGTGTATAAAATAAATCACATGGAGAATATTTATTAAATCCACAGGTGTTATCACCATGGAATGAACACGTGGAGCTTCTCGAACCCTGTTGCTTTCTTTGGCTGAAGTTCAAAAGAAAAACCCCAAAACATTACCTTTACAATCAAGCTGCAACCTTATTTATTCATACATTATTAACAATGTGCTCTAGTCAGTGAAGTCTGTAATGCAAATGTTGCATCCAGGGTTTTATACTATGAGAGTTAGAAATCATACACTTCTTTAAAGGAATCTTTGGATCCTTTTCTTTCATTCTTTAGATCTGATTAAATAAAGTTATCTCTTTGAAGGATGTAAGACTCTATATGAAAGGAATTGATTTGATTCCTTTAGAAGCACATGCTAAGAATACATTTAGCTGATAAATTTAGGAACCCAGTGGTAAAAAATAAGTATTTGATTTAGAAAGAAAATGAGACTGAATTTTATTCAAATAAAATTCTGAAAAGTGTGGTGTATTTTACTATTTAGCCCTAAACTAACATGTGTTTTGGTTGTGTCTTACTAATTTGCGGGTCCAGGAACTGAAATGTTTAACACACATCATACAGTTCCGAAAGTATCCTGAAAAAGCCAAGCTTTGCTGTATCCGACTAACTTCTAAGGCAGATAAGAGGTCCTCCTATCCAGAAAAGCGAAATGGACAACATTTAAACCCTGAAGCCAGAGTTGGACCATTTTTAAGCAATCCTAATAGCATTGTCTGGACAGACATACACTTATGAAGCGGATTCTATTCTAGATTTACCGCACAAACAGTCATATATTCTGAGTTTTCTTTACACTTAACCTCCCGCCAGTTCTAAGTCTTTTCGGAGTGTCTGTTTGTTTTCCACAATTTTAAATCCATACATTTTCCAAGCTTTTACTGTAACTAAGTCTTCCTATTCCCCAATCACCACCACATGGTGACAAGGTTCTAAATCTGAGCAGTGTTAGTTTTCCACCAAAAAGCATTTTGCTGTTGCTGTAAATAGCTGAATTTCAGTTTCATATGATCAAATGACCTTTTCCATACTTTTGCTCTGTCTCTTAAAAGGGTCAAAATAAACATTAAATTGGATTCACAATAACTTTCTAGGTGCCAGGATTCTAAAAAAGCCAGAAGTGTGGTGAGGACAACTAAAAGTTACCTGAAAATAGATCGTCTAACCTGAGCTGTGGATCCCTGCAGCTCCCCCAAAGTCACCAGTTCCATTCCTGTCTCCAGACTGAACTGGGCAAAAAGGTTGAAATACTGAAGTGTTTTATAACCCAAAGTTTTATCTCACCTATCTATTCTTTTCTTTTTTGGAGTAAATTTTGTTCCATTATGTAGCAAGCAGAGAATATGGTGTTTTTTTCACTTTTTTTACTTATTATTTTTTCTCATTTAGTTTTCAAGAGCTTTTTTTTTTTTTTTTTTTACAATTGTTACATATTTTCAATTCTCAAATGCCACTTTTTATATTTTTTGTACTCTTTTCAAATTGTGTTTTATAGATCATATTTTGTTCACTTCAAGCCCAACACAAACATTGAACAAACATTGATTTTTGACCGGTAAAAAGACCAATAGAAATGTGTCTTTTGGCTCCTCCCTTTATAGGAAAGCCCGCCCATTCTTGGATTGCATTTTTTTTTCAAATTTCCATTTACAAAATATGTTTTTTGCAAAAATAATGGAACACATTTCACTTCATTAACTTCCTCCTAATAATAATGATTCTCTTATATTTACTAACAAAGCTCTGGGGCCATCCTAGAATCCCTTGATGTATACAGAGGTACCCCAAAAACAAATAAATGATTGGGTGTTCTGGATTTTACAGGGTATTACAGAAAATAAAAATAACGTATTTTTAATTTAGAAAATATATACATATATAAAACATTTATCATTTTAATTCCTTCAAATTCATGCCCCATGCTCATGCTTTGTCTCTCACATTAAAGCTTAATCAGTTATATCGAAAATTGTGTTTCTAACATGACTATATCTAGAGAATCTTATGGGGCAAGAATACTGATCAAATGCAGTTTTTCTTGTAAGTTGATGTATGTGGCTGATTAAAAATGCTGCAAGTTTAGAGCTGGAAGCAGAACATCAATCGATGTCGGACTGCAAGAGTGGTGGTCAAGTCTTTCATCAAAAAGCAGAGACAGGCAAACCTGGCATGTTTTAAAGTTTAAACCTTGTCAAAAGCCACACAATGAATATAATAGATATGTTTATGTTATTGTAGATATTGACAAAACTTTCTTGTTTATAGATTAGAAGGCTGCAGCTCTTTTGCTGAAACCATTTCTTTCTACACACAATTACAAAAGCCTGAGGTGATCTCGATTGCTGTTTGTTCATTAGTGGGTTGATAATGAAGTCCCACTGAATGATAGGGAGATAGTAAGCTTTACCATCCGTTTAATGGCGGGAAGCATTGCAGACATTTGGTTTTCTGTGATTTCTTTGGAATGGATTACGGTAAAGATGACCTCACAACTCCTCTCCAAGCCTCCTGTTGTTCAGCAGACTCCAAGCCATTGATTTAAGCTCACCACCTGCAGGCAAACTCATTTCTGATGACACCAGACTTTATTTAAAACATAAATATTTAAGCAGGTTGAGCACAAAAGCAGAAACTCCAATGACAGCTCCATTTTCACAGCACATCTACCCCCGTATAAATTACCACTAAAGGAAAACTTTCTCAAAGATTGGGGGAAGTACAGATAAACAAAATAATCTATAATTAAAGCATCTGCAGCGTAATTACAACCTGTGCTATCGGTTCTCCCTGACAAAATGATCCAATGCTTATGAAACCAAATAAAGAAGGAGCCGCATTGTGACTGTGTTGCATAGATTAAATAAAGTTCCTTTATTTTTTAACTGCTTCTTGATTGAAAGTGATGCGACAGTGTTCTTTGTAAGGCCAATTGCTCCCTGGGTTGCTTTCTTCCTCTCCTCACACTGATGCCTCCCTGGATAAAGACAGATCGGCCTTGACGGGGAGAGACCAGGCAGCCGCTCCTCCGTTTCCGCTCTTGACTCTTACGGGTTTGACAACGTAATTACAAAAGAGAAGGAGCTGGGCAATTAAAAGGCTGTGATTGTGGACAGAAGGGGCTGGAGTAGAAGCAGCGCAGCAAAGACGAGACCCCACAGGGCTTTTCTCAAGGAGGAGCTGTCCAAATGTTTCAGCACATCTGACAGGGAAGCAAGTGGAATCATCATTGCACACTTGTTAAATTAACAAATCCATGAAGATAACTTTGAATAACTTCTCTCTTATGGTAGATTCTCAGAATTTTGCTCCGCTTATATATTTAAGGATGAAGTTTCTTGTAGCTAATGTTGCACAATATTTCCTTTAGTAGAAATATCACCAGTATAAAACAACTGGCCATATATAGACAGGGTGTTTGAGATCTAAAGAAGTGATACTATCAGTCCCGTCATTAAGCATGACAAAATTAGCATTTTCAGATTATAAGTTGCTTTTTAATGACTCAAGTTTAAGAAAAATGTTAGCCCTGTATAAGACACAGAGCTCCCCCACTTTATTTTCCAAAGCAAACTAATCAGCTTCAGCGTGGGTGTTATCAATCGCTTACGGTGGCAGGCTGATAAATGTTTTCCCTTTGTTTATAACATCACATATAAGTGAGGATTACAGGGGAGTACGCTGTAGTTAATGGACCAAATGAGTCTGCAGAATGATTCATAACACATCTTCTTAATTCATATTAGAGGTTAATAAAGAGACTAATGTATTCATTGGTTATCTTATTGTGGCAGCAGGTGGTGTATACAGGAAAGAGAACCTGATACTAGCGATTTCTAATGGACCAATAACGCCACCTTGGGAATTTCACCCAAAGAATTAATTTTAAAGGTAGGATACGTAGATCCGTTCTACCATAGAGAGAGTCAGAGACGTGGTTATAATTTAGAAAAAACAGCAATTCTTTATTTAAACATGATTAAAATAACAGGTCTTGTTAAAATATACTACCCACACACACGGGAAGGCGAGGGGGGAGCCTGATTCAGGTGCTGAGGCTTACCTGATGGAGTGGGTCGAGGCGAAGTGAGGAGTGATCCCAGTAGATAAAGCAAAACAGAAAGGAAGGCACCCCAAATCACTCGTGGCAGCCACTACACACATGCACTCTGTAAAACAATGGACTAGAAGGGGGCGGCACTGCACACCAAAACGGGAAGTCCCCACCACCAGGACACCAGGAACCACCACGTCAGCTCTCAGCAACTGAAAAGACAAAGAGGGGCATAAATAGCTTTTCACACACACACGCACACTATAAGGGGAGAAAAAAAAAAGAATAACCCAAAAAAACAAACATTAAGAGTCACAGGAACAATTGGAACCCAAAATGCAATTCCCCATGGACTCAGGCAACCCAGATAACTGAATAAACTCAGGATAAGAAAAGTAATACCGGGAATAATAACAATCAAGAACCAGTCCAGTAACAGAGGTTGAACAGTTGTCACATAAACAGCCCTTTGAATAATCCAGCCCAGCCTATGCTGCTGGAAGAGGGCAATTTCTGCTGCAGGCGGGCTCCAAGTTTAACCAGCCACGATACCGGCTGATTAAGGCGTCTAAGACCGCACCGCCGTGGTTAAACAACAGTTGGAACCGAGGTGGAGCCGCAGCTCAGGCGTCCGACTGCCGTGAGCTATCAAAAAGCTGCAGCTGGAACGTGTCAAAGCTGTGTTGTTTCTCCCAAGTTAACGCCGCTGGAATTCCCCAGATCACCAGGCCCCACACAGACCTGTCAACAAAATATTACTACTTTGTGGTGGAGCAGGAAGTGAATGTGTCAAATTGTCATACAGCATACATACCGATCCGGCCACCAGAGAAATCCCACTGAGGAAGAGGACGGAGGCAAAGCTGCCGATTACGGCCAGGTTTGATTGACGCGCTGATCACGAGCGCTGTAACCGGGAACGTCTTGTCTAACAAACCACCAAACATGCACATCAGCACCACAATTATCCATTGAGCGCACTAGCAGCCACTGCAACCTACCTGTACCGTTAACCAGCAGCCGAGGCGACCCGGAAGCAAAGCGGAGGAACCAGAGGAAGAGGGTAACCGATAATGCCACCACGCCCCTTTTATAGGGTGCCCTCCAGAGGCAATTGGCTGACACTGCCCCTGCAGCCAACACTCCTGCCTCCAGGAGCATGAGATGTCCTCCTGCTACAGTCTTCCCCCCCTTTATGCATCGTCGCCCCGACGATGCCACCAAATTAAGACACCATGCTCGTTCCAGGGCCTAAAGAACCCTGCAATTGCATTAGACGTAGGACCAGAGAAAATTGTTGGTCGTGGGAGATGGTGGACATTGGTATGTTGACCAGCAGCAGACCGTGTTGTCCGGCGAACAGCCCTTTCACTACGGCCCGAGTTTACTACCGGTAGAGTAACCAGCTCCTCCGGTAGCAACTCAGCTACCGCACCACAAGGAACGTCTGATGTTCCTTGTACTGTTGGATCTATGGAGAGAAGAGGCAGCTCCGGGGTGGCCTGGGCCTGACTGGCATTGGCCTGGGGAATCTCCTGCCTCAGTATAAACAAATCACCATGAGCAGATGGTTCATCCTCAACCTGTGGCTCCTCAGGAGGAACTGAAGGAGGGGGGGCTAGAGCGCTAGCTCCAACCACGGCTTTCAACAGCGTACGATGCACATGTTTAACCTGTGTGGGATCATTAACAGTGACAATGGTGTACACCGAGTGACCGTCCTTCGGGGCCTTCAAAATCCGGTATACTACAGAACCCCACAAATCTTGAATTTTGTGACGTCCCTTGTGGCTCATATTACGGAGGTACACCAACTGGCCCTCCTGTAAGGGAGCATCACGGACCTGCTGGTCATGATGGTTCTTCCGCCGCTCAGCCACGACCCTTAACCTTTCACGTACTCCTTCAAAGGCGATCTGCAAACGGGCCTGGTGTTCTTGGACCCACTTATGAATGCTTCCACTTCTCGGCTCCTGTACCTGACCCAACAGAAAATCCAGTGGGAGTCTTGGCTCCTGCCCAAACATTAAAAAGAACGGGGAGTCACCAGGTTGCCTGGTGGGGAGTGGTGTTGTAAGAGTACAAGAGCTGAGGCAAGCAGGAGCTCCAGTCTCGTTTCCGAGAAACTGGCAAGGTTCGTAAGAGATTATGCAGCGTTCTGTTGAAACGCTCACACTGTCCATTGCCGGCGGGATGGTAAGGAGTGGTCCTAGATTTCGTAATCCCATAAAGATTACAGAGCTGCTGGATCAAATTGCTCTCAAAATTTCGACCCTGATCTGAATGGATGCGGGCAGGCACCCCCAATTTACAAAACCATTCAGTTACTAGAGCCTGAGCCACAGTGGAGGCTCGCTGGTCACGAGTGGGTACGGCAAGCGTGTACTTGCTGAACACATCCGTCATGACCAGAACATCTTCTACCCCAGCCTGGGTTGGTTCCAAGACCGTGAAGTCTATGGCCACGATTTCATTAGGCCGAGAAGCCAGCAAATGCCCCATGAAGCTATGGGTGGCAGAGTTAGTGCCTTTGGCCACCTGGCACCTCTCACAGGATTGGCACATATATGCCACATCAGAGGACATACCCGGCCAGTAACACCGCTGCCGCAACAACTCCAGAGTCCGTTCGATGCCCTGATGGCCATGTTTCTGATGGGCTTCTGTTAAAACCTCTTCTTTTAGTACCGCTGGTAACAGCAGCTGGCAGACGGACTCAGCACCATCTGGCCGGAGGGTCTGGCGGTACAAAGTGCCGTTCCTTTCCACCAAACGATCCCACTGACGGAGCAAAGCCAGCGCGGGTGGGGTGAGCAATTTACGCTCAGCAGGGGTTGGTTGTCGCTTTTCCTCCCAAAACTGTAGGAACTGCTGGATAACAGGGTCGGTCTGCTGCAGCCTACAGATCTCTGCAGGGGCATGGTGAGGAAGGGCTATGATGGTAGCCTGTCCTGCCTCTGCTTTGGAAACCCGCAGAGCTTGCTGCAAAGAGGCCGGGAGTGATGTACCCGGGAGCATGGCTTCCATGTCCTGCATACTGGGAGGCTGCTGGCGAGACAAAGCGTCAGCATTCCTATTGACCCTCCCTGATCTATATTTGATTTCAAAGTCAAATGCGGCAAGCTGGGCTGCCCAGCGTTGTTCGGTGGCCCCAAGCTTAGCCGATGACAGGTGGCTGAGGGGGTTGTTGTCCGTGTAAACAATACACTTCTGACCAAGCAGATACTCCCTAAATTTTTCGGTCATGGCCCATTTAAGAGCCAAAAACTCCAACTTCATGGAGCTATAGTTGGCCATATTGCGCTCAGTGGGCCTTAGGCCCCTACTCGCATAAGCGATGGGCCTTACCTTGCCGTTCTGCTCCTGTGACAGGACCGCTCCTAGGCCACCAAAACTGGCATCAACCTCTAAAATGAAAGGGAGGGAAAAATCAGCATATGCCAACACAGGAGCTGTGGTGAGCTTGGTCTTAAGGGCCTCAAAACTGCGTTGGCATTCCTCAGACCAATTCCCTGCCACTGCACCCTCTGGTCTCTTCCCGGATTTTGTGCTCCCCAGCTTGGCTACCAGCTGGTGCAGAGGGGCGGCCAACTTGGCAAAGCCCTTCACGAACCGGCGGTAGTAACTGGCAAAGCCAAGGAATGACCGCAGTTCCGAGATGGTGCTTGGAGGCTGCCAGTCGGTTACCACTTCAACCTTACTGGGGTCGGTGGAAACACCCTGGTCCGAGATCACATGCCCCAAATACCGCACCTCCTGCTGGAAAAAGGCACATTTAGCAAGCTTGGCCTTCAGGCCCTGATGTTGTAAACGCCCCAGAACAACCTCCAGTCTCTCCAAGTGCTGTTCAATGGTGGAAGAGAACACAACAATGTCGTCCAAGTAAATCAACAAGGACTGAAACTGTTGGTCCCCGAAGAGCCGCTGCATCAGACGTTGGAAAGTACTGGGAGCATTGCAGAGCTGTGTTGTTTGTGGCTCAAACAACACAGTGGTATTTGCGAAGTGCTCAGAGCAGGTAGCAGCCACAATCTTAAATGTACCACCTGGAATCCGCCAGGCCTTCCGTCCCCGCACCATGGCTCTTCCACAGGCGGGCTGAGGGGGCCGTATACTAGCTTGATGGCACTTTTGCAGAGCTTGCAGAACTAACTCAGGAGCCTCTGATACAGAGGGTAAGTCAAAGAGGGCCAAACCATGTCGCCCGAAGAGTTCGCCATAACATCGGCGGATCACATTCATCCCCAGCACCCCAGGGGCCTGTGCAGACATACCATTGGGCAAGTCCTTAACCACCAAAATGCCACACTTTGGCATCAGCTTACTGCACAGTTCAAAATCCAGTTCCATGTACCCAAGGTAAGGGATGTTTAACCCATTGGCTGCACGGAGCTGTAGCCAGTCACACAAGCGCAGTTTCTCCGGGCCCCACGGCTCAAAATGCTGATGGAAAAAGCTCTCCGTGATGGTAGATACCATGGATCCAGTATCCACCAAACAAGGAACAGCAGTACCCCCAATATTAATACACATATCGGGGCAAGAGGACATGAGGTTGGGCATTTCTGAACCACCTCCTGTTCTTGAGCCAATATCACTGCCCGCCGAACTGTGACTCAACAGCTCGGTGGGTGGTAGTTTTCCGCAGGCCGTGAAGGACTATGTTGTACACTTGTCTTCTGTGCAGGCAAAGGCTGCTGCGGGCGAGGAACACGGACCCCGTCACATTCCCTAGCAAAATGTCCTGGTTGGTGGCATCGCTTACAGATAACTGGGCCCCACTGTGAGGGGCGGCCCCGGGAATGAGGGCCCGGCAAGCGAGAAATGCTTTGTGTAAGTTGGTTGATTTGCTCTTGCTGGAGTTTAAGCATCTCCTTCATCTCACTTAGCTCGGACGCCAGGGGTGGCTTGACGGACAACTGTGGGCCACTTGTAGCTCCACACTGAAACCCAAGAACTGAGGGCAGAAGTTATTCTGTCCCCTCAGTTCTTGGGTTTCAGTGGCTCCTCCTGGCAAACCCTCCCGCTCCCATTGGATCGCCTCAGCCCGGACTTCAAGCAACGTAGCGGTTGGTTGCCTACGCACAAACTGTTTCAATTCGCGACGAAGAGCACCATCAGTTACGTGTTCAACAAACTGATCGCGCAGTAAGACCTCAGCATTAGGCACGTCACTAGGGGCGCGCTGTTTAACAGATGCCATAAGGCTCATTAATGCAAGGGAGAACTCCTGAAGAGTCTCGCCTTCTTGCTGTCAACGAGAAAAGAAGGCTTCCTGCAACCCTACATAGGAGTCAAAGCAACCATACAGCTCCTGTAATATCGCGATTATTTTAGCTGGGTCTGTTCGTTCTGCATCGGACCGAAATCTTATTTCCTCACGTGCCTCTCCCTCAAGGTGATCTAAGAGGAAAAAAGCCTGGTCGGATGCAGCCAAATGACGCGCTCTAATACACGCCTGCACCTCCTCAATCCATTCACTAATGCCAATCCCTGACTTTCCTCTGAACATAGGGCATTTCCTATCTCGGGGCACAAAAACAAGTCTCTCTGTTACAGTACCAACGGTGGCAGGAGCGGGCACGGCAGACCCGGAGGCCGCCACATCAAGGGCAGGCATGGCCGCCACCTGTTCCTGTCGCAGCCTCTCATTATCCGCCTTTAACTGTGCAACTAAGTTCCTTAAATCCTTCAGTTCTGTATCCATAGTTACACACCCCCACCAAAAGAAAGAAAAAAAAAAAAAAATAATAATAATAATCTACCTGGGGCAGCGGCGTATTAAGAGAAGGGGAAAAAAAAAAATCCAACTGGTTTTTTTTTTTTTTTTTTTTTTTTTTTTTTGTCTAAGTCACAGCAATACACACAACTGTTCAACCCCAACCTGGACCAAGAGAATACAAATATTTAACAATAAGAAACACGAGAGCAAAGGGAAGAGAAAAAAAAAAAAAAAAGGAGAAACACACGTCTCTGCTCTTAGTAGGTCCTACCAGCAACGCCAGAATGTGGCAGCAGGTGGTGTATACAGGAAAGAGAACCTGATACTAGCGATTTCTAATGGACCAATAACG